ATGGGAAATGGAAATTAGTGGTTTGGTGTAGGGAAAAAGAGCAAGTAAAATCTAGCCTAGTTTCTTTTCTTTTGAACAGTTTGATAAACAAAAAGATTTTAAAAAGTAAGAAAAATGAAACCGAAATAAATAAAAAGGTCTGAAGACCGAATTTTTAAAATTAAAATGACGAACTAATATGTTTTCAAAGTTCATTGTCTTTGAAAATCAAATATAGAACAACGTAAATAATATGTGAAAAGGAAGCAAAGAAAGAAAGAAAGAAACTAACAGACAAATAAGAATTACTGTACCTGTAACAAGTTTTACCTATCAATAAATCTCTTTTATCTTGGTTCTCGGTAACAATTTCGTTTCGTTTCCTTGTCCCGGGGGTGAGAGACTTTGCTGTCTTGAAGTCGGCGGCTGCTGAAAGTCTTTAAAAGTTCCTCGTCCTTTGAGCTACGCAAGAAGTTCCTCGCTGCTGGCTGCCCCGTTCCCAAAAGTTTGAAAAGTGAACAACTTCTCTTGTATCTTGTATCCCTCCGCGCGATGGGCCCTGGTTTCTACTGCGTGAGGCGTTCCTACTCTCTCAGTTTTCAGCTTGTCACCCCTGCCATTTATTGCTGGAACTCCCCGCTCTCTGACGTCTGTCGACCAAGAGTTCCGTGGGCGAAACAGTGCGCGCAAGCGCGGGTGAATGTATGCGTGTGTGTATGTGAGGGGGAGAGTGAGAGAGAGAGGGAGGGAGGGAGAGAGAGAGGGGGGAAGGGGAAAGAGAGTGATAGAGCGAAAGAGAGCGACACAGAGAGAGAGAGAGAGAGAGAGAGAGAGAGAGAGAGAGAAGAGAGAGGAGAGAGAAAGAGAGGGGGAGGGAGGGAGAGAGAGAAAGAAAGAGAAAGAGAGAAAAAAGAGAGGTTGAGCGAGGGAAGGGGATTGGGGGGGGAGGGGGGAGAGAAAGATAGATGATAGATAGAGAACAGAACCAGACTGAGAGCGAAAAGCGACCATCGTGACACAAACCGAACGAAGCCGATGGTTTCCCCCAAAAAACCAAACGTGTTTATTTTCAAGGCTTCGAGTCGGGCGACCGAGAACCGACCCCTCAATAAGCACTGGTCACTGGGTATAACATCTCAACACTGGCAGTAGCCTGTACATATCTGGCAGAAAAAAAGAAAGACAGAAAGGAAGGAAGGAAGGAAGGAAGGAAGGAAGGAAGGAAGGAAGGAAGGAAGG